ATATAAGCAAGTTATTTCATAGAAGAGTGAACTCATTTTCTTACTGTCTGTGTAGCACAGAGTAAGCTAACACACCATTTGCATTAACTTAGGTTGCTGGTCGTGCAGCCTCAAGGAGAACAAGAGCTGTTCAACATGTTTGCCTCTTACTCGGTAGCCTCCATCAGCCCGGTGGGACAGGCGAGTGAATTTAAAGTGTTCATCTGACAATAGCTGCTCTAATAGCTCATCTCTAATAGCTGCTCTTATGGGAGAACGTGAACATCATTAGAGAAAATGCTGCAATATGCAGTGCTGTCCTTAGCAGAATCCTGTTCCAGTCACAATTTTTACTTTTCCTGGAAAGATGAAGGGTGTATAGCCTTTATGTTTATCTATTATTGTAACATGTATAGCTATTCACGAAGACAGTCAGATTTGTTATGTTTCTGTTAATGATTGAACAGTACTGTTACATATCCAACAAATAATTTTGCAATAGATAGCCTTAGTCACTCGATAAATCAAGTTTTGGTACTTAAATCCATTGAAACACATATGCGAGCTAAAAGAAGCTCATTTGTAACTTAGATCTCTGAAAATTTTATTATATCAGTGCTTTTTGAACTGTTTGGGTCTCAGTTCTTACTTAGCTTATTTTATTGTACATGGCCAGCAGGAGGAGGGAGGTGATCGTGCCCCTGTACTCGGCCCTGGTGAGGCCGCACCTCGAACACTGTGTTCAGTTTTGGGCCCCTCACTGCAAGAAGGACACTGAGGTGCTGGAGCGTGTCCAGAGAAGGGCAACGAAGCTGGTGAAGGGCCTGGAGCACAAGTCTTATGAGGAGCGGCTGAGGGAACTGGGGCTGTTTAGCCTGGAGAAGAGGAGGCTGAGGGGAGACCTCATCGCGCTCTACAACTACCTGAAAGGAGGTTGTAGCGAGGTGGGGGTCGGTCTCTTCTCCCAAGTAACCAGCGATAGGACGAGAGGAAATGGCCTCAAGTTGCGCCAAGGGAGGTTTAGACTGGACATTAGGAAAAACTTCTTTACTGAAAGAGTGGTCAGGCCTTGGAACAGGCTGCCCAGGGAAGTGGTGGAGTCGCCATCCCTGGAAGTATTTAAAAGACGTGTAGATGAGGCGCTTAGGGACATGGTTTAGTGCGCATGGTGGTGTTGGGTTAACGGTTGGACTCGATGATCTTAGAGGTCTTTTCCAACCTTAATGATTCTATGATTCTATGATTCTATGATTCTATGTTCCACATCAGCTACCTACAGAAACAATGGATATGGCACAGACAGGTAACTAGTACAGACATATTTTCAAAAAGAAGCAATATGGATGTATGTTCCTATATGGATGTAGTTGCAGATGAGGAAAAATATACAGTAGCAGACAGAAAGAAATATTCAAATAGTTTTTATAAAGGCATGTTCAGTTCAGCTATGTTTAGTTTGGCTTGGTTCTTAGGTCTAATTATTTTCAGGGCAGTTCAGAAGTATTGATAGAGTCTTGTCAGTATTGATAGAGATTTACTAGCAAACCTGAGAAGAAATGATACAGTTGATGGCAGTGTCTATACCTACCCTTATCATTATATATAGCTCAAAATCTAATTGCTCACTTCCTTTATCATTTACAAGACATATTTAGGAGACTGGTACAATTTCATTGTAAAAGACGTTTAACAGAAATTTGTTCTATTAATCCAAGAACTTCACTGAATATTGCAGACAGAGATAGATGAATCTGAAGTCACTGAAGATTATAAGAAGTTTATCAGGAAAAATACTTGTTAAAATGTTTTAAAGTCAGTATAGTGCTAGGAAAAATAGTAACAATGCAAAATAATAAAACAGAGAGCTCTCTGACTGGATAAGATACTCATCATTAAAGACTTCTACAATGCATGTTTTTCTTGTGGCTTTGTTACAGAATTCCCTGGCTAAATTAGTGCAAGTCACACGACCTCCCTCTTAGCCAATTATTCAACCAATAATGTGGGGAAAATAATGCCAGTGTATGAATAATACAGGGTTGCTGAAGGTTTCTTTTCTTTTTCTTTTTTTCTTCTTCTTTTTTTTTTTTCTCCAAAACATTTTGTGCAAGATCCTGATATAGTACGATCTCGCCTAAGGGCCGCTGAAGTCAGCAAAATCTTTAACGGAAGACAGACATACAAAATATTATTGGAAAAGTAGATAGTGTGTTATATTACTACTTAGGCTCTTTTTCAGCTTGGTGGCATTTCAGCATTCTAGATGCCTTATGAACACAACGGGCATAGCTGTCAAGATCACTTTACAGCCACCATCAGATCGCAATCGAACCAGCCGTGTGGGGATATAAATGCATACCACACAAATACAGCTTGCCAACCACAAGATTAGCTACTCCAACAAACCAACTCTTAGTTCCCATATAAAATATAACTAGCAGAGATCATTTGCAGAGCAGGATTTCTGATGCTTTTCTTACGTGCAGGACTTCTGACTGTACAATGCCCTGGGAACAAGGCAATAATGCTGGTTCTCATGTCAAAAGCTTACAGATGCACATATGGTCCTATGTTTTTTTGTGGTTTATTCTGCAGATTGTGGTTGATCTAGCATACTATAAGGAAGCAGAGTCTCTCTTGTGAATAGCTACCATTACACAGCCAAACCGCAAAGAAATTTTGGGCTTTATTCTTAGGGGCATTTATTTCAGTGTAGGGTACTCAGTTTCTAAAGCCTCAGCCTAGTAACTTACACCTCAGAAACTATATTCACTTAACATCAGTTACCCAAATTAAACCAGGAAATGTAATTAAGGCCTTTGTTAAGATTTACATTTAATTTACACCCACATTTTCCATTTCTGGAAACTAAATGTTTATGTACTTATTGTTGAGACAATAGTTATTTAGCTGACACTGTAATGATTCCTAGGCAATGTTTCTTCTTTGTAGTTTTACATCAGTGAAAAATAACGTTTAGAAAATGCCTCATAATGGAATTTTTGCATCCTCTGAAAAGCTGGGTGTTTCACATTAAAAAATCCCAGCAATTTTAATGAAAATACAGGAGAGCTTATGAAATCCAAAATGCCACTTCATAATTAGACAAATTCCTACTTAGTTTTCATTTTAATGCCTAATCTTTGCCCAACTCTGACTTGCAAATTATGCTACAAATATATGTAATACTTAACTCAAAGATGCAAACCCTAATCTGTAAATTGATTACATGCCAGGCTAATGCTTAGAAATTTAGAAACTGTTTATAAGCAGATATTTAAACCCAGACGCATTATCTTTTCAAAGGCACTCCTTAAAAAGGATTGCAACAATTTGTCTTGGGCAAGTTTTGGCCTAATACTCATTTACAGTTGTATTTAGAAAACAGTGCATTTAACTTCTATTCTTTTAGCCTGTATTGTATTGGGGATATCCTATTTCTCAGAACTACATGATCATACAGTCTACATTGCAATGCATAAATCAAAGATCTATCTGTAATATATAAAAATACATTCGTTGTACTCACATTCAAGGATGTTAGGCAGGCATGATCAAACTTCTAAGACTGATACCAATAATCATGATTGTTTCACTGCTTATCTTTCTTCCCCTCCATTCTCTTCACTCTTTTCATTTGAAAGGCTTACGCCTTGAGCAGCCATATTAAATTTTGCTGTTTCCCTACTGTTGTAAGATGGTAAAATAGCTTTTGGCTAAGTTGTGGCTGTGTTTCAATATGGAATACAGTTTTTCCTGACTCAAAATGTTGTTACTATATGTCTTTCTCCAAGTCTCATTTGTTAAGCTAGTAACTCTTAGCTAAAAATCCATATATTGCCAAAGCATTGCTATGGTACCAATACCCTCCATCCAAGGAATTTTTCAGGTTTCACCTCTGTTAACGTGCTGTACCTGAAATGACACATATCAAAGTTAGGACTGGGACTACTGCCATCCTCTAGAAGGGAGACCACATGTGTTGTGAGGAAGTGAAGTTTTTATTTCCTAATTCTGCTATGTGAACATGAAAAAGGAGAACAAAACACAGTAACTGCTCTCAAAGAACCAAAACAATAGCTTGAAAGAATCTGAGGCTTGAAAAATAGACCTGCATATAAATTGCTGAAGTAGCTGACAGAAGCTTTTTCCCTTTGGACTTCCATTAAACTATGGAAGATTAAAAAAGGGCACAAAAATATTTAGGCTATTATTCCAAAGGATTTGAGTGGAAATATGTTTTGTTCCCTTTGGTGTTCTGAAAAAATGAGTCCTAGTGATTACATTTGTATAAAATAGGTAAATTTTATTTATATGTTTCATTTGGACTTCAGATGAAAAACTCACCTAAAAGCTTGTCTAAAAGGTCAGTTTTGATGCAACTGACCTAATCCCATGCCACTTTGAAGTAGTATACTGTTCCCTCCTGTCAGTATTCTGTAGTTTCATAGCCTCGTTCGTTGTTTATTCTTCCATTAAAGATAAATGAAAGGTTAAGCAGATATATTAACTATGTGGTTCATTTACTTGGATCTTTTCTTTGAAGCTGTTATGAATCAGCAACTGAAAATCCTCAAAACAGATTTAAACGCAAGCACTCCTTGCTCACAACTTTCTCAAACCAGTGAGTGTTCCCAACACTTCTGATCATGAATTTGACAGAGCAGGAAAATGGACTTCACCTGAGGTACTCGTCTCATAGTAATACCAGTTCTTAATGTTTGAATTCTTTTAAAAATTAAATCTCAGGGTTCTTATTTCATGCAAAAGTAAAGATGAACAAGAAAGGTTGCTACTACTGCATTACTAACAAAACAGTCATCAAGAAAAAGTAGCGGTTATCTTTGTACAACTAACAGAACATACATAATGTTAGATCTTAAAATAATTAACTGAAAAAGCAGAAGAGCTCACTGTGACTAACTGCTATTTGGGAGACTCAGCTGATTGGCCTTGAAGCATTCAGTAACTTCTCCTTTAAGTAATTTTTAAAAAAGATTTCAAAATTACACTGTACTTACTGGATTGAGAACCACTGTGAAGAACAACTCTCCTCCTTGAATACTTTTGTCTAGTTCCTTTGGGCCTCCAGGATACTCTTTATAGAAAATTGTGTGGGTGAATAAGCCACAAGTTTGCCTAGGAAGCACCTGGATTTATTTAAAACAAAACAAAACAAAACACGATTAAAGAGAAATTCACGGAACAAAAATGCTTATACTTTTAATGAGAGAATAAATGCCAGGTAAGTGATAACTGATAGTGTTCCGTTGTGATAATTGCTGGGTAGATTTGGCATCACAACTTTGCCAGAAGTCAATAATGACCTAGTTGAATTAATACACTGGCAGATTAATAATTAGTACTTACTGAAAGAAACAACATTTTTATTATCAGTGAAATCGTAACGTCCAAAAATTCATCACATTTTATTTGAAACTGGAGATTGAACTCAATGAATAAGTTATAATTCAGCAACCTCCTCAAACTAATTTTGTCCGTAACACCAGACTTCAAATACTTAGTGTTAGGATCAAGTCATCAAAGATTTCTAAAATTTTAAAATAATTTGAAACATAATCTAAAATATTATCAGTCTGTATTGTATTAATCAGTTCCACTCTTTATTTGAAATATGGCTTTGTTGTAAATTTAAACTGTAATTTGAAAGTAAATTTTTTTTTTTTTGGCTTAGGCATCACCACCAATAATAATTCTACTCTGACACATGACGAATTTTGGCGATAATGCTCACATTATAAGAAAGATTTGCTTCTCAATTCAACTGTGCTAGTTTTGTAAGACCATTTGCAATAAAAAGTAGCATAAACAAATGCATGTATTTTTAAAAACAAGCAAAGAACAAGTCTTTTGAATAGGAAGAACTAATAAATGCAGTTAGGTTTTCCACTAGAACTTCAAAATATTTTCTATCAACTTCAGAAAATAATTTGCTGGAGAGTATTTCAATTATGTCTATTTTTTATGGAAAATCAACAGCTGAGTATTGATGTTCATGTATAATTTTTAAACTGGGATTGTTCTCAAACATTTTAGTGCAATTTAGAACATTTATTATATAATGGCTTAAACTTTTAAAGCATACAAATCCCTTACTTGACATAGAGTGTGATTTTGTAGACACTTGTTTCTTGTCGTTTCATTTCTCAACATCTTCTTTGTAATGTACAGGATACTGTGACCACAGACAGTAAATTCTGTGTTTTCAGAAAATGTATGGAATCTGTGCGTTTGCTACAAACTTGCATATACTTTTTAAAAACCTTTGGATTTCACTGATGAAATATGAGAACAATTCTTCACAGAGGCAGGGAATGAAGTTGTACTGGATGGGAAATGCTCTGGCAAATCTTACACAACAATTTTATTACTGAATGTATTCATCACTATAAGCCTGCAGATGTAAAATATTAATGCATTTGCCCTGGAGAACTGAAAGCTCGAGACTCCCAGAACAGGTGGTTTTATACAACTGTTCTTGGAGACAGATTTTTGGCCCCAGTGTCCTTGTGTTAAATCTCATTATGTGTCTTCAAATGACATGTTTTTACAAAAATTTATGAAAGAGATTTTTGGGGATTCTGAGAGTCAATCATTCTTCCTCAAATGCTTCACGTACGCTGAGCATATCCACAAAGCCATTATTTTACATGCAGCTATCGCTTGCAGGAGAAAAAAATGTAGCTCAAATCTGCATGGTGTCAATTTTTTTCCTGGATGTCTGGAGATCATTGTAGTTTGCTTCATCCAAAAATAGATCAAAACTTTAAAATATTATTATTTTGCTTAGAAAAGCAGCACCGATAGTAACTCGAAGACAATACCAGAATTCTGTTATAAGTTAAGTGGTGGTCTTGCGCTAAGGTACTCCAAAACTGCTTGTTGCAGCCAGAGGTATAACACAGTACACACACTGGGATCTTTCCCATTCACTGCTCTCCTACATGCTCCAAAAGAAAGTTACTCGAGAACATACCATCAAGTATTTTGGAAAGTTGTTTTGAAACACTTCTAAGATAATAATGACAATATGTGAATCAGAAATAGCCTATGCCCCAGTGATCAGATGGTATTAGCATAACGCCTTCCATGTCAGTTGTGTATAACCCCTTTTGGCAAATACTGCTGTCAGTGAACAACACTGTGAATTATGTAATACAAAAAAATTGTGAGATTTGACTTGTGGCTGCCTCAACAGAGCAGCTTCATAGCCTGGAGGGGGCTGTGGTGTGTGTATGTCTTCTTTCCCTCCAATCTTCTGAGTGTTTGCCCTGCATCCAGACTGATCGCCTGGGCCCAAAGCCTAGCTGTGGGGTTAAGCCACAGTGCAAGGCACAGTTCACATTTCTGTATGGCAGGAAGCAAAACGAGGGCAACAGTGCACCGTTCAAATGGAAGAAAAAAAATATTTATGCACCAAGATCCAGATTCTCAGATGGCATAAACTGGCAGCACTCTTTTGCAGTTAATGGTACTATGCAAATGTAAAACCTGCTAAAAATCTAACCAATAATATTCCGTTAAAAGATGCAAAGTTGACTTTTTCCTTGAGATCTCTGAACCAATATTAACAGTAGGACTAGAACAGTTAACAGCCTGTTAACTGTTAACAGCGGGGTGCCTGGAGGCCACCTTCATCAGCAGTAACATCATCAGCAAGAGACTGATTTTAATTAACAAGATACTGTCAAATATATCTTGGTCCTTATGCACAGCAATATGTGCTTCTCACAATACGAACTTTCAGGATACCATGCTTTTCCACTTAAAAATAAATTGTTCATAAAATGGTAGAGTGGTTGTAATATGAACGTCACAAATACAACTCACCATGATATTTTTGTGGATGAAGCCTCGTCTATACCTTGCAGGCTTCAGATGTGGGTATTCTTCTGTGCTGGTAACTCTGATATTCCAGACCTTTTTCCAGGCATCATAAAGTTGAACATGTACCGGATAGACTCCAGAATGGTGTGGAGCCACTGCATAGCCCAAGTCAGTTGGAATACCATGTTCCTAAAACATAACAGAACAATGACTGCTTTCAAAAATTTAAGAAACTTGATGTTTTGGCATTTCTCAAATCCTGTTCGTGACAGATCAAGAACAGGTCTGAAATGCAAATAATGGTTATACCAGAATACACAGATATGTAAGGGAGATGGCAGCATGGTGATGAAATGAGGGATTTTAATACAAAAGCCTTTTTAATAAATATTTTTATGAGTATGTAGGGAAGCGTGATATAGATGTATTTTACGTTGATTTCTTCAATCTACATTAAACAGAAAGCTACCCTCTTTCAAGTTCTTGCAAGGAATTTGCTCGCACACTAAGAATTCAGAGAGAAAATTACTGGCACATATTCAACACAACATGTAGTAGTTGGCAGTTACAATAACAGAAGTGTGATTTCCACTACATGTCCCTACACAACTACTTGGATTGTTAGCTGAATTTCACAGAGAGTCACTGCATTTTCCCTCTAGTCCACTCAAAACATAAAACCATATTAAAAAACCAGCTTAACCATTTTAGTGTCATATTAAAACAGGAGAAAAGATAACCACTTGTAAAATTCTGAGGATAACAGGCAGATGTTGTAGACTAACCCCTTTTGTAATACATCTCCTATTTTTGCAGACTCCTGTCATTTATCTTGTTTACATACTGACCTTGCTGGTATTACCTGCTCTTGACATTCAATATATTTTCTTTCCAGTTTCTGGTTTCCAACATACTCTAATGAATTTTGACACCTTTTCTCCTTTCTTTCAGGTTACTTTTCAAAGGAACAGTATATAGCAGATACTTCTCTGATAGTCTGATTAGCAGAATACACTGTCCATAAGATGATGTTGCAATGATTTATGAAAACTGCCTTTGCACAACCTTTGAATTCTGTTTAAGAGTTTTTTATATTGTTCGTATTTGTACAGTCATTCACCATATTTTCTAATCATACTTTGTGTGCAAAGGTAAGAGTTGGTTGATACTTCGGTCTCTTCCTTTGAATAAACTAGTTACTTAGGAATATGAAAAACTAAGTCTTTATCTCAAAGAAAAATGGGTGCATGACCTTAGTAAAATCAACTTTCTTCATCTTTTCTAGAGGAGGGCTGGACTACTGCAGGAAAGCTAATGTAAAAAAAAAGCTTAAATAGTCAGGATTCAGTATTAGACGCATCTTATAATTTAAATATGACAACTTTACTAACAGCTCAAAACAAAGCAAACTCACAAAAAGGAGCATTTGCTTCTCCTCTGGAAGAACATGAGAAATAAGACTTTAAAGATATGAAGCCTACAAGGGAAGAAAGCTATTTCTTCCTCATTAAAGGGCTACTTTGAACCTAGTGTAATGGTGTGTGTAACAGGTATGGTTTAATCACAGTTGAGAACCCTTATTTTTCTATACTTAAAAAACTGGTGAAATTATTATTTCCTTTTAGCAATTTATGGCACACATAATGGGGCATAAGATTTTACCACCCTGAGGCTGGTGCAGCTTTTGGAACTCTCATAAGGCCGTATCGCTCCTGGGTAGGATTCACACACCCCATCAGCGACGCCGCTGCACCCAGGGAGCGCGTCATCTGCTGGTTTACAGCTGGGGTGCACTATGTGTAATCTGCCAAAGTAGGAATGAGTAAGATCTGGCCTACTGGTTTTACTGCATGAGGAGATAAAAAATGGATGTGCCATCAGTTACACAGCTTTACACTATTTAATTGCATCGCAGATATTTCAATTGCTCTTCGTTTTATCTTTTCTACTTCCCTTAAGCATGCATAAACATCAGAAAGAAAAATCTTTACAGAACATGCAAGAAATTGCCTTCTCTAATGTCCCATTTAATCTCCTTCATTCAGCTATAAACAAATGTCTGATTTTTAAGGGTTTTTCCCTCAAGTTTTACAATATGCAGTAATAAATATGTAATTAAAATCTTTCATTCCAATAATGAGCCTATCATCTTCAATGTATCAGTGTCTCCATTATTTCTTAGTGACTGTAATTCCCAAGTTGAGCATTTCACACACAATATACACATTCAGTATGATAATGCATGAGGCATCAGCAATTTCAGCCTCTTTCAAAAAAGCAGGATACTTATCTTTGTTATTAATTTAAATGCTTTAAGCAAATGAAACATAATGAGTAGCTTCTTCAGACAAATAATATGTACTATGTATGGTGGTTTGGTTTGGTTTTATTGTATGAAATTAACTGTAGAGAAAAGGTAAGTCTGTGTCTCTAGTATCCTCAGACCTAAAGATCTGGTTTTATTTTTTCTTATATTCTCACTGAAACATTTTTTTTCAGAGCTTTGTTGTGAGTAAATAATTAGTAAAAGCAATGCTTTTCCAAACAAGTTTTTATAAAGCTGATCAAAAGGAATATATAGGATAGTATTAGGTATCACCACAGAAAAGCATCTTTGAAAATGTGGCACACTTCATTAATCCTAACATGCAGTGTTTTCATAAAGTCATTTGACACGTTTTGGAGTATTTATTCTTTCAGAAAACTGGATTTTTTCTAATCTAAACAATGGGTTATTTGGACAAATTTTTATTTAGGAAAATATTGAAATAGAAGAATTTTTATCTATACTGACTTTCCAAGATGGGAACATACTAATTCTTCATTCTGAAAGAATTTTTCCATTCAAAATTTTTCATAAAGTAATACAAAAAAATAAAACTTCAGTTGAGAAGGAAATCCAAACTGTACAGAAGCAGAATTTTCATAGCACAAAATAGAGTGATTGCAAAAAGCACTTTATCAAAACTTTCTTTTTTTTCAATTCATTTAGATTAAAACAAATTCTACAAGGATTGATTTTCCAACAAAATAGGAATAATGGTTCCTGAATACCTAAATTCAGTATAAAATGCAAAAATGTAACTCACTAAGGCAAATTTTTTGTTAAGGATCATCTGCTCCACCAGTGACGACTCATTGTGGAAGAGATGAGGCTGCATGTGACTCCACATATGGGGAAACCACCAAAACTCATCCACAGACCTCAACAACAGGTCATCCCCTTCATCTTCCTCCTCAGTGCCTGAAAAAACAAAAAAACAAAAAAACAAAAAAACTGAAGTAAAGTCTCTACTTTTATTATATTCTTACAAATGTTTGAAAATATAAGAAAGAAGTTAGCATAATAAAATGTGACCATTTAAAGTACTGAGGATTTTAAATGTTTCCAAGTACATATTCCTTTTCCTGAAGTAATTATAGCCAAGTAAATGGGAGCCCCATTTTCATGGCACCTTGAATGCATGGTACAACACTGTCCTCACATGCATGTGCTGTATCAGTAACATCAGCAGCTAAGGGATGGAATCGGAGAAACTGTATGCAAGACAGTTTAATACAGAGTATAAATGAAAATGTTGACAACTCTTTTCTGGTATTCCTTATCCAGACTAAATTCACTCTCCAGTCACTTTTATTTTTTTTTCGTTACCTATGATACGTGGAAGTATTTTTTCCAGCAGCCTTTTCAAAATACTATGCGTAATACAATTACTTTCTCTTCCCTGCTAATTCTTACCTTTCTGATCATGGCCTATTCAGGAGTTCCCAGAAATCTGCATCTTTGAAGAGACTTAAAGGGTGGCTGGAGCTCACCAAGTTATTTCTCAGGCCCCAAGCCTGCCTTTTCAGATGCTCCTCTGCCTATACCTAAGATGGCGGTGCGGGGAACAGGCCCTGCAGCCATTTCTAAGTGCGGCGCTGATGAAGAGGAATCACTCGGGCTGCAGCGTACAGCCCTGCTGTTCTCCCAGACCTCTTGTGCTGCAGCTGCAGCAGTAAATAAACCCAGTGGTGGGGCCTGTCCTCCGACCCTGAGCCGGCTGGCTGCTTTGACGCTCGTAAACTCTCCCAGCCTGCGAAAGAAGCAGCCTCACCCCAGCTACCCACTGGGATGGGCCCCTGCCCCTGCTCCCCCGGGTTGGGGGAGTGGGGGCTGGCCGGGACCCCAAGCACTCCAGAGGCCATTCGTGTAATCTGAGGGCAATGACAACATGCTCTTGGTGCTCGGGCCCTTGCCTCAGCTCCGTGTAACCTACTCGCAGAGATTCAGCCTGGGTATCTGACAGCACCTCAGGGATGGGAAGTGTCAGATCAGGACACTCCCCGCCCTCAGCCCCAAGCCCAGTGCATTTTTAATGACAGGCTAGCCCTGTCAAAGGCAGCCAAATTTAAATAACCCCTTAATGGGCTGCCATACAAAGATTGCATGAGCCGAGCTTTGACAACCTATAACTTAACACATCTTCATGGTGTGCCTGCTTTCTGCTTTCCTGATTGTTCCTACTCCTGCCAACAATCAACACAACTTGACGAATCCTTTCCCTCTCTCAGCATTTTGCAACATCTATGCTCCTTTTTCAGTCTGTTAGCCAAACGTTCAGCTCCGATGCTTTCTGCATCCATACGGCCATACTCTCACTAACCCTATATGCCCTTTGCTTTTTCCTATTTCCTTCAGCAAACCTTGTCTGACATACCTTCAACTGTTGTGATTTTATTCCTCATTACCTCTGAGGGAACTACAGCAGTGAATGAAAAATGTGGGCAGACATATGTAAAGATGTATCAATATTTGTAGGATCATTAGATTTTAGGACTTCACATGAGTCCATGGGGCCCTGTGTGATGTTCACACACTATTAAAGAAAGTGACAGGAGTGCCTAAAGGTCATACGATAGACAGATCAAGGAGAAGAAACCGTATCAAGAAAGGAAAAAAGCCACAGCGAGGGATGGGCTGTAACGGAGATAGGCTCAACTCATTCAGTTTACAGCCAGTAACTGGGTCAGTTTGTACTACAAACGCGCAATACCTTTGCCAAATTCTACTCAGCCAAAACCAGGAAACCCATGCGCATGTTCCCTCCAAAGCATCTGAACTGTCAACTGAGGCAAAAGAAATGGTCTGGAAAGTACTTCTGCCTGCTGAGACACTGGCAGGTGCCAAACTTGGCAGTCAGGATCATTTTGCTGGGCCATTCTAGGCAAAAGAAAGGGGAGGAAGGGATGGGAATGGATGGAGCAAGTGATGTCCTGAATGTGAAAAAGTTATGGCATCTCTAGTCTCTCTGAACTGTGCAGGTGACACCTGGATTGCAGGGGTGAAACCTGGACATTTACCAAGGCTAGCTGAAGTCTGCTGAGCCCAAGAGAGACCTGTGGAGGGGCTGTGCAGCCCCAGCTGCTTTCCTCTCCAGCTGTCCAGCTCTAAATAACAGACTTCTTTCCCTGCCTCTTCTCTTCTTAATATGACAAGTAATACTGACCAAGGCGCACAGCTGAGCACAAGAAGAGTTACGCTCATCCCTCTGCTATGTCACGTGCACAGCAGTCTAGCATATCCAAGCTCTGTATATCTATCTTTAGTTTTGAATAAATCTGGTTTTTGTTCCTAGTCTCAGCTAACATGTCACTTCACTTCCCTCTTTTCATATTAACATCCTTCAACTATGACATAATCCCGTGTTGTCTTTTGTCTCTCTCTTCCAGGCTCTGATCTTGTCCTATTTTCCATGCATGTCTTTTTCTTTCTGTTTGACAGTACAGAACACCTTCTTTCTTTTATATCACATCCTATTTAATACCTTATCTTTTATTTCTCTCTATTTCTACAGTGATTTAAGTATAAAATTATTTTATTGGGTAATAGATATTGCTATATCTCTACAGTAGAGATTAAACTATCCAAGCGGATAAACTGTGGTAGCTCAACAGATCTCTCAGTGAAGTCAATAGAAAATTTCATTTGATCAGTGGAATTTACCACTCAACAACAGGTTGAAAGGAACTGAATTTTAATAAAAGGGGAGGAGGAATTCAATCTGTTCAACGCCAGCACCTAATGCAGGCATCACAAAATTACAGGTGCCTCATCCCGAGATGTCCCAGCCCACCTAAAAATACCACCTAAATTCTCTGCGTGCTCAGGAAAGGGCTGCAGAAAAAAATCCAGTTCACCTACTCTACATGCCGCCCTCTCCCCATTTCCTGGGAGAGGAGACATGTAGTGAACATCTGAGCTAGCTCAAATTGAATGAAATTATAAAGCAACAGTAAGAGATGTGTTTATTCCACCCTCAGGATTGATTTTACTGTTATCCAATGAAACATACGTAACACGTATAACCCCTACAGAAAGCTGTCATCCCAAGGTTGGTCTGCTTCTTGCAAGGTCTCCTCCTGGCCCCGTGACTCCGCCATTTCTGCATGTCCCAGCTTGCAGGAGGAGGAGGAACATTCCTCTTATTCAGGAAACTTAACAGTCTGACAGGACACTTTTCTGAAGGGCTTCGTTTTTCTCTTAGAAACTACAGCCTGGCTCTCCTACTTCCACATCACTGCTCTACTTATTGGACTATTATGCAAAGAATGAGCACCTTTTCTGTTTTTTTTTTAAAAAAAGAGAAATGTTGCTGCAAAGAGGTCTTTACAGACTCTACCTACGTGGTTACTTCCAGACAGACTACAGCTCAAACAAAAGGTTAATCCAGTATAATAACTTTAGCAGAAAAATCTGATTCAGTAAATTACATAAATGTATGTCCCAAAGCAACCTGGAAGAAAGAACAATTTGATTTTTTAGCTATCCTATTATGAAGGAAACACTTCTCTCTACTCAGACCCTTAAGTCTCTATCTTTCCTACTTTCCTCATACTACAAAGAAAACCATCAAAATGAAAGTGATTTTATATTTCATTCTTACCTGTGTGATAAAATTTCCCTGAAAATCCCAGGTTGAAAGTAAAATTTGTAATCTGAGCTCTCAAAAGATTCTGAGTCTCAAGCAGGGCCTGAAAAGAAACAACCCACCATATAAACATATCTGTAGAAAATGACACCTGGCACAGAAACTTAATATAACAATATAAATATTTTTACAGGTATATGTCTTTTCAATTGGTTTTGCTATTTAAAACCAGCTCTTTATTTGTGACAAAGAAGTAACAGATATTTTCATTATCATTTAGAGATTAAAGACAGCATGCAAACTCCATCGTTTTCCTCATATAGATGACCAGCTATTAAACACTGTTTTACTCCCTGAATCACGAGATAGGTAAACAAAGGCACACGCCAGAAAAAAGACCTTCCACTGATTACTCAGTAAACCTGGGACTTAGCCAGGAATGAAATTCAGATCTCTTGTGCCCCCGATCACTGCTGCATTCACTGGGGTGAAAAGCGTCTGTTAGAATTATGTTTCTCTAGATCAGGTCAAGTACATACGCAGCATTTTAGTCATGTTTCAAAATTACTGGCAATGAAAAAAAACCCAGAAAGAAGCTAGATGAAGCCTATTCCACATCAAAGAACTTAATCCTAAATTCCCCCAAATTCTGACTCATTTCTCAGACAGTCAGCATACTGGCTGTCAGCATAAATGTACTTGCACTAAATTAGTACAAACAAAAAACCAGCACGCAGGAAGAAAGGGGAAAGCTATTATTCATCAGATACACCTTCACTCTTTGATTTTAATATGCTCTTCTTGATTTGTTACTCCCAAGATTTACATGTCACTTTCAGGAGTTATCTCCCAAACTCTTACGCTCTGCTGTTATCTGCTCTTTCATTTTGCCAGGTGTCACAAAGATACCCAGCTTTCCAATGCAAACCAAAACTCTGCAAAGCAGAAACAAAACATGAGAGCAAAAAGCTTCCTCTGAAATGAGACTTGGAGTGCACATTTCCCCAAATAGCCTGCCTTCAACTGAGCACTTGATAGTTAGTAATTTATGAACACGTTGGACTCTTTGGAGATTTGTGACACTATACACAGCAAATCAGAAGAATACGGCCAGCTACAGCACGCGCACACACACACGCTTGGAGACAGGCACTCATGCAGTACCTTTGAAAGAAAGGGAAATATTTATACGTCAAAGGTCATCAAAGAGTTTTCAAAGTAAATATACATTATAGCACAATGATTTTAATAAAGTGATTAAAAGCAATACTATTGTCAGAAATCAGTAACTCTAAGCGTGTTACGAAAAGGGATTGTATTCAAAAGCACAAAAAGATTAAAATCACTGGAGATTTTCAAAGGTTTAAAGGTCTAGTAGGCTCCCCACTCTTGAAATTCAATGACAATTTGGTGCCCGGAAAAATATGAGACAGTAATTCTAATTACAGTTTCTTTGGATGTTTTCATTATATGAGTAATTTGTCTACAATTTTTTTTTAACCGGAATGTCAATGACAACAAAATGTTAGCATGGAATTCAAGTCCAGCTTTATATATAGGCATAGCATAGTCAAGTTACAGTTCCTTAAAATATGACCCATTTTATAGATGGAGGCAATATCCACCTTATCAGAGAAACTTCTGGGCATACGAGCTCTTCTTCAGGTCTTTTCCAGGGCTCATCTATATCAGTTCCAATAAAAGTACAATCTCCATCTGCAAACTCTGTCTCTCCATCTGCAAACCCTATCAAGCCTGTTTCCTCACATGATCATACCTACAACATTACAGTGACAAAATCAGGCAAAGGGTGACAGTAGCAGGGGCTCCCCTACACACCAACCTCAAGAGAGGCCCAAGGCAGCAGGCCCAGCGGAGCTCCCATTCCCAGTAAGAGGTGGACCCACACCGCAGCTGGTGCATCTGTCCCTGCTCTGTGCTCGCCTTTCCCAACACTCCCTTTCCAGAGCTGAGCATGTTCCCCTGGCCCCACTGAGGGACTGCAGCACTGCCCAAAGTGGGAACACAGCCGCTCTCCAGTTGTCTGCCACCCTGCATCTGAGGCCTCAGTGAGCTCACTAAGCTTGTAACTCTGGCTGGCTCAGGGAAGCTGGTGCTTGAGGGAGCTGATCTGCAGCAATAGGAGAGACAGTCATTTGTCCCTGTCCTGGGGGGTTGCAAATTGGAGTTTTGCTGACATGGCTGACAAAACATGAGCGGTTTCTATTCTGAGTCATCAGTAGTACTTGCCTTGTTCACCATTTCAGCAGACCAGAACATTATGCCTAAGCATATTCATTAAATATATATTAATCACAAAACTAAATCTGTGAAAGAACCATGACTTTTCTGCCTCCTATTTCTTAAGGTCCTCTCAGTTCTGGAAGTAACTTGCCTCTCCCACTGTATTCTTCAGCAGTGTAGCTCCAGCAACAACAGTATAGAGAGTTTCAAAGAACAGTACTAGTAAGGTCAAGATTATCTGCTTTCACTGGAAAGCCTGAAAAATGTCCTGCGAACAAGGGACTTTCTAAAGGAATGAATAAAAGCACAGAATGGAGATAATTGAAAACAAGCTCAAGACTTCTGAAGTGGAATATTAAGAGAAAAATCTTGCAACACTGTAACGAGGGCTTTTGCACAGGCTGAGAATGCAAAGATCACTGAGGATACTCCTTATTCGAATGAAAGGTAGCAAATCTGCAGAGGATTTATTATGAAAACCATCCTTGAGCTGCTGGGAACCTATTCAATGAAATAATTTTATCTTTGCACGGTTAAAAATGTAGGAGGCAAATGATATGGCTAAACACTTCTTATGTTTATAGTACATATTGTCAAATGAAAGAGATCCTGAGTGCAGCTTGACAGCAAGGTGGCATGAATGGGCTGCACAGTTCTTTCCCTCCAAATTAAGTTAAGAACTGTGAGCATTTTTTGAGCTGAAGGTCTTATCCTGTACCTTTCTAACACCTTCTCAGCTTGTCAGCTCCAGCCTAGTCTCAGCATGATGGAAAAACAGAATGGGAAAAACAAAAAACAGCTGGAAACGCCAGAGAAACACGACCTAGAAGGAGTTCTTTGCTGCACCTCCCTGGCACGCTGCAGCTACAGGGCTGACAGGAGAGTCGCAAACCCAGGCTTTCAAACGGGAGGAGGGAGAAGGGTAGCAAAAAGCCCATGACATTTCTATGATAATGCAACAGAGAGTTCACTTCTTCGCTGGGAATTAATTTTGCTAGTGTAGTTACCATCCTCTCGCCTCAATGACTGCCTGGTGGCTGCATTTTATTTAGGCCAGCAGTCACAATAAGACACTCCAAATAACACGAACTCTAAAGGAAATCTGAAGTTCACCTTCTACAGAATGGACTTTGAAAGCGATGCCGCTGTTTTTTTGGCCACATTACTCATTAAAATCAACAGGAGATTTTCTGCTAAAGCACTGTGGTGTTGTTCGAAAATGTATCAGCTAATACCAACAGTGTACCTGCTCCCCCTGCTCTATCTGCAAAGAGGGAGGGCACAGACCTGCTGCGAACCACTTTTTGTACAGACAAGCTGAGATAACATTTGAGTTGTCATGCCTATGATTATTTTCTGGGTGACTTGACATTTTACTCATCTTTCAGGTTCTAAAAACAAAATGTTATAACTCATGAAAAATATATAGTAGCAGATGGCAGGGCCTATTACTGTGAGTTTCTATCAGAAAGACAGAAAGAGAGAAAAGTAGGGGGACGAAAAGCCTGAAATTTCATTTCTAAATGCTGTTTTATATGCTGAAGGTAAGCTGGTGATATTTTCTGTATATTTTATGATTATGATTCATATGATTATGAACAGCCCCTCTGGGTATCTGTATGAGATGTTATATAAATACACTAGTACTGAAGATTATATTTTAAAAACTGTTTAGTAAAGCCTTCATGTGTTTATAAATAATTATTTGCTACATGTGTTATACTTCCACTGGTACTATAAGGAAAATAAATTACTGGCTGCATAATCACTTTCATGTACTTAGCTACAATGGAGTACTTTCTTTTCAACTTTTCCTAAGTTTGCATACTAGGTTTAGGAAATTCCTTGTGCCAGAAATCAAATGTGAAGATTCACTATATGATGAAAGACCTCCTTCTTCACCAGCAGTCCAGAATAATTTCAGAAAAAGGCCCCATTACAATCCAAGGAATAGACAAAAGTTATCCCGACAGCAAAACAACAGAGTTCTTTCAATCCTTGCATGTGACAAGTTTATAGTATAACGAAAGGAATATAAGAAATCATGTATGTTGTAAATAAAGCCAGATTCTCAGATGATTAATCAGCATCATCCCATTTAATTTATTTCCATTTCATTTCTGATGAAACATCTCAGCAAATGTAAGCTGTTGTAATTGCCAATAGGATCTCAACTGACTGAGAATTTAGGAGAAAATGGACTCTAAGATCACAAATGGAACAGAAGGAACAGAATTATTCTTTAATTGAAATATTCACGCAATGGAAATGCATGAAAATTCCTGCCTTTGTATAGATGGCCTCTTTCTTTCTTGACAACCATAATGTTTAGTTCTTTTTATCACTTTTCATTCATAAGTATCAACTTTGTTTACAAAGGAAACAGTTTTATTTGATTTTTCTCATCTTACAGACAGGACAAACAGAGGCACAGACAGATGACACGGGCTGTCAAAAGCTTTTGCTGAAGTAAATCAGCAGTAAAGCCAAGGATAAAACTCTCATCGCCAGACTTGCTTCCCATTTCCATAGCCAGGAAACCATCCTGCCTCCTGTCCTCAAATATCTTTTTACATTATTTCATTTTATAGTCTGTCACAGAGAAGTCAAAAGTGTCAACTTGTCATCGGTAAACAGACAGTAGTAATTTCTTCAGCATCAACAAAAATATTCAGAGCCAAACATCTTGGCTGATGAAACAAATCAAGAACGCTTTGTTGAACTCTGCTTCACCAAAAAGGAACTACGAATTGTTTCTGTAGTCATACCAACATATTTACAACTATTTTCCTACTCAAAAGCTGCTAAAGCACTTAGCCACTTGAAAAGCGAAACAGTTCAAAACACTGTTAATTTTAC